TCCTGTCAGAATATACCAAGATTATTTTAAGAAATTTCTAACATGACGTTGTTCTAAGGACATTGATGTACAGTATGTATGACAGTACATCATTAACAACCTGACATCAATTATTAGGAACTTTGATGAATGAAGACTTAATGACCACGAGAAGACACATGTATCCCCCGCCGGGTCCCTCAGCCAGCGTTATGCCAACAACCACATCTTTGAATCCCTTCCTCCTCGTGCTGCAGGGTTACCAACTCTCTCTGGTAGGCTCAGGAGCAGTATTGTGGAGGTTTCTTACGGATTTTTTTGTTTATTTACTAATTACTGCAAAAATATACAACTATACATTGAGTAAAAATTGACACTGGGATGAAACAGTAACAGAGCGAAAAGAACAACAACTCAACAACAATTTTGAAACTGATGAGATCGTGTAAAGTTTCCGAAAGAAAAGTGATGTGAGCACTGGTGACTGTGGCCTGGCTGCTGCTACTACCTGTGGAGAGAGTTACGGGTGCGAGAAGGTCCGTGTGTGTGTGTGTGTGTGTGTGTGTGTGTGTGTGTGTGTGTGTGTGTGATATACCCCAACAGGCTATTGATGGCGGCAGCTGCTGGGCTTATCTACGTTATTTAATCTTACATCAATGAAGTCAGTTTGGGTGAGGTCAAGAGATGAATTGTGACGAGAATGTGTCGGCCGGACTCAATAATAAAATTTATATATTATTTTAACAATTTTGCGTATAACCTAATAATTATTTTACCATCAAGTTAAATGGTGATGTTGACTTAGAATCGACTGGAGAGCCATATCACAATAGTTTCGTAGACAAGAGTAGAGGAATAAGGAATCGTTGGCTGGCGTGATTTATCCCGTAATACACAAATAACAACAAGAGACTACATAACAAAAGCATTATGAAAAGCCTTGTCTCTCCTCCTCCCGCAGTGTGTGGAGTCGTACACTACCAGACGGCTCGTCTAGTCTCGGTCCCCCCCCCTTTCCCCCCTCGCAATGTACCGATTCCTGGTTTACCGTTCAGACAATACCTATAACAAGGCTTTAAAAACTGTCGATATTGCATTCCTATTGTAAGGGAAGAGGCGTAATACTATACCATCGTAACCAGGTTAATTAAATTTGTTGCCGATATAGGAATGTAATACACTTGTTACTTTATTGATCCGATACTGACATTTACCGGTGAATAATTAACTGACAGCCGACAGTCATCCCACCCTACAACCGACAGTCATCCCACCCTACAGTCGACAGTCATCCCACCCTACTGTTGTCATCAGCATGAGTGACTCGGTAGAAGTATCATATCATAGTCTCAAAGGTTCGTAAGTAAGACGTTTTGTTTTGTTTTTACCGCAACTTAATATGTGTGTGTAAAAGTATGCGATTCAAAACTTACACTGAGACAAGTGTTAAGTGAACGTGTCTAGTTCAAATAGAATGTCAGTGTAATTTTGATGCACTTCATAGACGTTAGAACGTTTTGTTTGGGTGTGTTTTTTTATCTTAAATAAACCAGTTATTTACATTCTTATATCATCAGTCAGGAAGAATGTTTTATTATTTTTTTTTCTTCATTTGGACACTGAATGATACTGAAGGAAAACAGGATTAAAGAGACGTTTACAATTTAGTTCACATCTGACCATACAAGCAGGCATGACTCGTTGTTCAGGGTATCAATTCGTTATCATGTCAACGCAGATCATGTCGTTATTCACCAGTGTTTTGAAGTTGATGTTATAATGTATTAGTGCGCTTCAACAACCGATGTCTTGGCGTAGTCTAGATTAATAAAAGCAACAGTCACCAACAATAATAAGTTAAGTGATGACTCCCTGTTGTTACTGCTTGACGCCTGTACCCTAACAAGAAGCTCTGGGTGTGAGAGAAGGGCGTCTTATGGGGTTGGAAGCGCATTATGTAACGCATGAGCTACGCAAGGTTGGAAACGCATGAGCTACGCAAGGTTTAAGATGCATGAACTACGCGAGGTTTAAGATGTATTAACTACGCAAGGTTTAAGACGCATGAGCTACGCGAGATAAAGATGCAAGAGCTACGCAAGGTTTAAGACACAAGAACTATGCAAGTTTTAAGACGCATGAGCTACACAAGGTTTAAGACGCATGAACTTCGCAAAGTTTAAGATGCAAGAGCTACGCAAGGTTTAAGACGCATGAGCTACGCAAGAGTTAAGATGCACGAAGCGACGCAAAGTTGGAAATACATGAACTACGCAGGCTCAAGATGCATGAACTTTGCCTAAAAATCTAAAAAATAGAAATACCAAAGTGATTTAACTCTAATTATAGGCCTAAGGCGTGCTAGATAATGCGGTCACCTGTTGTTGTTGTTTTGTAATTGTTGTTGTTGTTTATCTTAAGAATAAAACATCGTTGTGTAGAGTATAAATTGATTCCTCCTTTTCAAGTAAGAATGTGATAAAACATTGCATAGAAGAACCAGGTGAGTAAGAAGGTTGTGTGAATGTTTAATAGGGTAACTTAATCACGATGTACAGGTTTTTGTATTGATATAGAATGTACCATTAAGTTAAACATTCTTATCGTAATAACATTCACACAAACCTTTCACTATCCTATTTTTTTTTCTGTACGCTGTTTATTATGTTATTCCTTGATAAAAGAAATACGCATCACTGGGCGCCTCGTACAACTAAGTCTTTCCTCCAATATATTCAACGGCAAACGAACCTCAGAATTCATCGTTGTCTCATCGACTTTTTGGGTAAATTTTAACTGTATTTTTTTTAATTGATGTTTAGAAATAATGATAATAGTTTTTTTTTTTACGAATATATTGTCGTTGTAACCTAGCTGTTAAGGATAAGGAGTTGATGTAGCAGGAATATAGTAAGATTGAAAACAAGTGAAATAAGGAGTGTGGTGACCATGGATTTTATCTCATCGAAGTTAATCCTTAATAAACACCTTTTGGGGGGGGGGGGTTAAATATCTCTTAATATCATTCTAGCTCTTGGTTTTATATCTCGTTTATCTCTAGGGAACACAAATGTTTCTTTTTCTGTTTCATTCTTTCGGTCTGGTAAACAGTGTTGTGTTAAACGCTGGTGGTTCTGAGGAAGACCACCTTATCTGATGTTTTAAGGGGTTTTATTTTTAGTATTATCTGGTCTAACTTACGGTGTATAAACTCAAGTGTATGAGTGAACGTTAAGACAAGATTGACCTTCAAATATACATAATGAAAACAATACCAAACTAATTAAATCTATCCTGATCTTACGTAACAATCTTGGGAGGTAAAGTTTGTATACGTAACTTCCCGCGCAAAAAAAAAAAATAATAATAATCAAGAACTGAAAGCGAGACGGGGTAATTAAAAAGATATTTCTCAATTACTTAGTCAAGGTTGGTATTCATAGAGATTCCTAATTCAACTTGACAAGAAAAAGAAAACGGTTTTAAAATTTCTCATTCTTGCGGACGTTTGCAGTGACTAGATATCATTATGAAAATTTGAATATTATTATTATGCAAATGAACACAACAAACTCTTCTCTTAAAAAAAAATATTATGGAAATTATTATGATTCGTGAGAGTGAAATAGTTTCTTATTCATATTTATGTAATTTGTATATATTATGCGATATTAATTTAAGGAGTATGACAATATTATGCAAATTACTATGGAAAGAAATACAGTAGAGATTTATAACTGGGCATTTCGATAGCATTATGCAAATTAGTATATCAACATGAATGAAAAGTTTAGTTTATTTTTTGAACTTGAAGTGACTTGTAAAATGTAGCAAATTATTTTTTTTTTTAGGAAAGATTTATGAACGTGTTGCGTCAATATTGTTGAGTGACTTTACTGAGGTAAGAGACATTACCTGTACGGTTTGTGTATACGTTTTAAGTGATGTCACCACCAGATCGTACATGACATCATTACCGTCCATTACGGGGAGGTCTGGGTCAATAGAGGTCACAAGGTGGTTTGTAGTTGACCTTCTTACTCTGTGAAGGTAGTTTAGAGGGTTGACTACTGACCCAAACACCAAAACCCTACTTTACACGCTTAAGAATGTGAATGGAGGTCAGGTCAGGTCAAGTCAAGTCAAGAGAAGGATCGTAATAGACCCCACTCTGTGCACAGTCATCGGAGACGGGACGAATTTACTTATTTCTAAACAATAAACAAAAAGAAAAACAAAAGAAAAAACTACATCACTTATTTATATGAAACACCTTAAAAAAAGTCAATTTCTTGGCCTATAAATTACCTTAGAATTCACTAGACATAAACCACTTTAATTTACTTCCTTGTTTTTATCATTATGGACTGGACTAGAAGCCAAAGAAAACGGGTAACGGGGACTAGAAGCCAAAGAAAACGGGTAACGGGGACTAGAAGCCAAAGAAAACGGGTAACGGGGACTAAAAGCCAAAGAAAACGGGAAACGGGGACTAGATGCCAAAGAAAATGGGAGACAGGAAACAAAATTAGGACTCTCGGGGTGTTTATGTTAAAACTGGTACACCAAGGCGAAGGTTAATGTGTCCTCAGCCAAGGGATCAGGAAGGTCGATGCAACTTTAATATGGAAGAACTTGGTCGCTGTGAATGTTTGTGAATGTGGTCCTCTGGTGGTGGTAGTGCTGGTTGGTTGTTGAGGGTGTGGTGGTTGCTTGGTGAGGATGTGGTGGTTGGTAATAATGGTATATGACGGTGGTAATGGTGGTGGATGAGGGTTGTGGTTGTGGTGGTTGGTAATAGTGATGGTTGGTGAGGGTTGTAGTTGATAGTGGTGGTGGTTGGTAGGAGGTAATGGTTGGTGGTAGTGGTAGTTGAAATGGTGGTGGTTAGTGAGGGTGGTGGGTGGTAATGGTTGGTGAGGGTGTGGTGGTTGGTTGGTGAGGGTGTGGTGGTTGGTTGGTAAGGATGTGATGGTTGGTTGGGTGGTGATGGTTGGTGGTAGTGGTGAGAGGGGTGGTGATGTTGGTGGTAGTGGTAGTTGATGTGTGGTGGTAGTTGGTGGGTGGTAGTGATGGTAGAGGATAGTAGTACCAGCACGACCTTTCGCCCTAACACTCAGAGGAGCCACAACCAGCTGTTACCTCAGGCCAGAACCAGCTGTTACCTCAGGCCAGAACCAGCTGTTACACTCCCGTCTACATAAAGATACAACCAGACACCAGACCGCTGCGGTGGCCACAGCGTGTTGACAAAACTAATAATATAACACCCGCTTATAACAAATTAATAAAGATAATCACATTACAGATGAAACAAACAAGAAATTATTTGTTAAATGGTAAAAAAGGCGGAATTGAAGGACCTGATGTAAACTAGTGAATAGTATAGGATGCTGTAGGAGGTGAGGGAAGGAGGAGGAGAGAGGATGGAGGTAATGACCTTATCAGGGTTCATCATGCTTTCCTTCCTTCTTCCTTTCCCTTCCTTCTCCCATGCCCCTAGAGAGAGGAGGGGCGGGACCTGAAGTAGGCGCCGCAGGTGGGGTGGTATCTTGAGAGAGTCTTACAATAGTCTATATATACAACAGAAGGTTTTCTTCGCTGGTAGATGGAGAGCTTCGTGTTTGATTCTTGTTACTCGTCACTTCCTTCTCTTGGTTGTGATCACGTGACTCCTCGTCTATAGTAATGCTTTCTGGATATTAGTTTCTTATGATACATATTATATTATACACACTATTATATATATATATAAATATATATATATATATAAATATATATATGTATATATATATATATATATATATATATATATATATATATATATATATATATATATATATATATATATATATATATATATATATATATATATATATATATATATATATTAAAAACAACAAAGTCTTCACACTGGAAAATTGTAAAATGTCTTCACACAAGTTAAACACGAGACAACTATATAAATGGCCTGGCGTCCCTTCGACAGGGTGGGCGTCCTGCGTTGCCCTGTCTGGTGACGTCACGCACCATAACAAAAAACTGCAAAAAATTCGTTTCATTTCTGACTGCCGAGGATGTAAGGTGTGGTGTAGACAACGGTAACTAGTAACCCCACTATGTTGACTACAGCGTGGAGGAGCACCAAGGCCAGCCGCCGCCCCTGGGGGTACCTGCTGCTGAGACATGTTCCTCAGGAGGTACCTACAGCTGAGACATGTTCTTCAGGAGGTACCTGCAGCTGAGACATGTTCTTTAGGAGGTACCTGCAGCTGAGACAAGTGCCTCAGGAGGTACTTGTAGCTGAAACATGTTCCTCAAGCACACAGGTGGATTTCACTGCCTGCAGACTGTTGACGTGGTACAGTGCTGGAGACGCCGTGCCGTGTTGTACTGGGGCCCAGGCTGTGTCGTCTGGCTTCAGTGCTCCTCAAGAAGACGTGTCCCATCTTTTATCATCTAACTATTGGGAAACTGTGAGGGACTATAGCTTACACAGTCAAAAATTCACATGTGCTAAGAATCGTTGCCTTTGGAGTACAGCACAGAACCAGTTGGGTCTTGTCCTTGCCCTGGAGGGTAGAAAGGAGTCATGACCCAACATGTGAAGGGGTAAGACTTGTGAGGGAAGGGTGGAGGGGGAACATTTCTGTACAGTATGATACCGGCAAAATGTGCAGAGGAAACTGGTCCCTGTCAAGCAGAACGTTTGGCTGGGCAGAAGTGTGGCGGCGCGGCCGAGGGAGACAACAGGTACGAACATCACCGCCCAGGTTTAGGCCACGTTACTATACAAGGATATTGCCATGGAAATTGTGCTGAGATTATTATGATAACGTTGAAGTCTAAGGAATTAGACTGAATTGTGACCATTATATGTGACACGGATCATCAGACCACGGGCTTTTTGTTAACGCAGGAAACAGAGGCGGTAGAAAGTAAACTGTCCAGGCTGCTGGGGTGAGTGGCAGCACGTCACTCAGTGTCTCTGACCCACCCCAGGCGGGCCACATCATTCATCACAGTCACGGTAGTACTTCACACTTCACACTCCCACGACACACTCCTCCTCCTCACATGAGGAGACACTTCTCCTTAATTTTACGAGTGCCCTTTTGTGATTTATTTTTCTTGCCGTCGAGCTGCAGCGACATATTTCTGTTCTTCTCCATGTTGAGCAGCTCCTGGAAGAGCTCCTTCACGTTGTGGTTGGTCTTGGCGGAGGTCTCCATGAAGTTACACTTCCACGCCTTGGCTTGGGACTCACCGAAGGCGCTCTGGACCTCTCTGGCGTCACTCTCGTCACACTTATTGCCCACCAACATAATGGGGAACTCCACCTCGTTGCCCTTGATCTCACGGATCACTTCCCAGATCGGACGCAGCTCCTCCAGGCTCTGTCGACTGGTGACTGAGTACACCAGGATGAAGGCGTGACCCTTACTGATGGAGAGCCGCTGCATCGCTGGGAACTGGTGAGACCCCGTCGTGTCGGTGATCTGCAGTGTGCATATGTTCTTGTTGCAGCTGATCACCTGTGAAAAGGAAACCTCTGGTTAATTAGAATGACCAATCACTGATGGTAAAATATACACCTCGTTGAACTTGTGATGCTAATGAATAACTGAGGCGCCTAGTTCTTAATTAAGCCTGAAACATTACTTTTACCTTACCAGACTAATCTATATACACTTTACAGCTAATGTTCACTCAGTAATCTACATCAATAGTGAATAATACGTTGAAATAATCCTTCTTTTACTTCAATCAGGATTTACAAGTTTGAAGCACTGAAGTAAATCATTCCCTTCGTTACTGCTCGACCCTTTGTAAAATATATCGGAGTGAAATTGCATCAGTATATTTAGCCAGAAAAATACAGATACAAAGAGAATAAAAACAGTATTAATATGGCAACCATTTGAGAGCAAGTCAGACATGTTGAGTTTTGTGTCACTCACCTGTATGGTAATCAAGAAAATCATTACCTGGGGCCATTATATCCAGTTAATTGATGTGTTTTTACCAAGTGTGTGGTTCTTAATCCATCTCGTTAATCTTACTTATCTTTATCTAATCTAACTTAACCTGGCGTAATCTAATGTAACCTAACTTAACTTTTATAAACACCTAACCTAATTTAATCTAAGTTATCCTAATCTAATCGAACTTAAACTGACCTGACCTATCCTAGCAATAAGTAAATATCGACATACAATATCGTCTGCCAGTGGTGAACAGATCATACATTGTACTTAAGGTGATCAGTCATCATGCTCAAGGGGTTAAGTCATCCTCGTACTTAAGGGTTTATGTTGACAATAGCCCTGTGTGTGTGTGTGTGTGTGTGTGTGTGTCCGAGTTAGCCCGACTGCATACCGAGGCAGCAAAGCGCCAACGCCGGAAAGACGCTGCCGCCGCCCCTCCCGCACTAGATGTAGCCCTCCACATGTGCAACATCTGTGGACGACCATGCCGGTCCTGTATCGGCCTCTCTAGTCATCAAAGTAGTAGTAGTAGTAGTAGTAGTATGTGTGTATGTTGCTGCTGCTGTTGTTTGTGTGTGTGTGTGTGTGAGGGGGGGGGAGGAGGACCAAAGGATCTTCATTTCTCCTGACGAAGGTAAGAACTCACCTGACGGTAGGTGTCCTCGATGGTGGGGATGTAGGACTCCCTGAAGGTGCCTTTGACGAACCGTAGAACCAGGGAGGACTTGCCCACTCCCCCAGCACCGAACACGACCACCCTGTAGTCGTTACTCTGTTCCGGCATCTTACTGCGTCTGTAGGAGGAGAGGGTACTTAGGTTACGTCAGGGCGGGGAGGAGGAGGAGGAGACAAAGAGGGAAGAGAGAGAATAAGAGAAAGAGACAGAACAAGGTGTGATCTCATCCGCACGGAAGTTAATTAGACGCAGTGAAGAAACAAGAGGGTTAACACACACACACACACACACGCACACACACACACACACACGCACACACACACGCACACACACACGCGCGCGCGCGCGCACACACACACACATTCTAAAAGCCATTGCCCTTTATATCAAACATAACCTTGAAACCTCTATAAAGATTACCTAAGGCTAGGTTAAGTTAGGTTAGGTTAGGTTAGGTTAGGTTAGGTTAGATTAGATGAAAAGGCTATTGACGCTACGTAAGAACCATCTCGCCATTAAGGATCTCTCTATAAAAACCCCGACCACTTTTATATCGTTTCTGTTGACTCAATAAAGCAAAAAAAAAATGATCGCCCACAAAACACTCGACCTCATATTATCTGTTGTTGAGGGACTTGAAGGGTTTATTATGCCATAACCTGATACCATAAGAGGCGGAGTCCAGCCAATATTTACACCAATCGTGAATGCGCGCGCAATTGACGTCACTAATCACGTGATTCAATGTTTACCCGCCTTACCGCCTCTACTGCGTTCGTGAGATCAGTAGTTCTCGTAAACGCGGATTTGTTAGAAGTATAGACCTTAATGACGTAGACTAAAGAATAAAAATAGCTTCCATTTTATAATTAGATTTTACCTGAACGAGATACCTGTTGTAGGATTTTATTAAACATATAAGACACCTGAAGATTAGATAACCTAGTTTATTTCACCTAATGATTTAAACACACTAACGCTTACCTGTGGGAGTTAGGTGAGGTTTGGTTAAGTTAGGTTTCGTTTGGTTAGCGTTAAAGTGGCTAGGTAAGGTTAAGTTAGTGAAGTCGTAGCAGAAATATTTAGATATATTAATAGTGGAATCGATAGGGTAATACAGACAGACAGGTAATTTTGACAGAGAGAGAGAGAGAGACGGATAGTCTTTGTTTTCCAGATTAATTTGTAATATCTCCCCTTTACAAGTAATTAAACCTAACATGTAACACAGAGTCACACACAATTAATCTACTGTTGACGTCACTTAGTATAAAGACGCTCTTAGTGGTTAAGCTGAGTTCTTATATCGTGACGTCATTGTTTATCACCCTTGGAAACTATGACGTCATCCTCTGCCAGCTGGTAACTATGACGTCATCAACCTTCAGCTATAATTGTGACGTCATCTGAGATCAGGTGTAAAGCCATGTTATCACCTGATGTTTTTATTTACTTAGCTCTCTCTCTCTCTCTCTCTCTCTCTCTCTCTCTCTCTCTCTCTCTCTCTCTCTCTCTCTCTCTCTCTCTCTCAAATTCCTTATGGTGAAGATAAATAACAAGTAAATCCCTTTTTAAAGTTTAAGGGAGGTTTTAGGTCTTTAGGGATGATCTGTGTATTTTAAGGACATATTGAAATTTTAAACCTTATTATGGAACCTAAAATCCTACGTATTTTAGGTTGATTGGTAGTGAAAATACGTCAGGATTAGGTTATAATCTATTTTATGATTTTAGGATTTTTATTAGTTGATATTTTAGGGATAATTCGGAGGATCCTTTAAATCTGGTATAAATTAGAACTGATTTTAAGGATGTCTTTTTTTAAGGTATTGAGAATAATGTTATAAATAAGTTAAGGCTGATTTTTAGGGATTCATTACTTATTTATATTAAGGTTATTATATGGTATTTTAAGTATTCACCTACACTGATAATTAGGTATTATTTTAGGTCTGATTTAAGGTATTTTAAGTATTCATTAAAGGTAATATTTTAGGTCAGATTTAAGGGATATATTAGGGCTAGGTCAGTATTTTAAAGGGTATGAATTAAGGGTTAAAGGGTAAGGGTTAAGGGGCTATTTTGAGAGAGAGAGAGAGAGAGAGAGAGAGAGAGAGAGAATTACCCTTTTTGTTGGCGTTAAAGATGATATCGTAGAGACAATGGTAGGTGGTATACCCTTCTCTCTCCCTCCCTCCCTCTCTCCCTCCCTCTCTCCTTCCCTCCCTCCCTCCCTCCCTCCCTCCCTCTCTCCTTCCCTCTCCCCCCCCCCTCTCCTTCAGTCTCTGCCTCGCTTATTATGGTAACCAGGGACGAAATGTGAGTGGGTGGAGGAGAGGAGCGTGGGTGGTGGAGAGGAGCGTGGGTGGTGGAGAGGAGCGTGGGTGGAGGAGAGAAGCGTGGGTGGAGGAGAGAAGGAGCGTGGGTGGAGAGAAAGTGAGGGAGGAAGTGAGAGGGAAGGTGGGAGAAAGGGAAGGAGGGAACGGGGAGGGAAGATGAGTGTGAAAAGGGAGGGAGGGAGGGAGGATGGAAGAGGGGTTGGAAGAGGAGGTTGGATTGGAATATAATAGAAGGATATGTGAAGGATGGAGGAAGGATAGGAGGAGAATGGAGGTGTGGGAAAGGTTGGATATGAGAGGGTAACTTGGAGGGAGAGGGAGGGAAAGGAAGGGAGGGGAGAGGGGGGGAGAGAGAGAGAGAGATTAATAATAGAATGAAAGTGGGGAAAGGAGAAATTTAATCACGAGGCCAAATTAGTGATTCATAAAGTCGATTATATCCTCAAGTCACCAGGCCATAAAGTTAATTCAATCACCATGTCAAGTCACTAGGTACTATCGATTAGATCACCATCTAATTAGGTCACTTGTAATCGTTTAGTCAGCAAGCGAGGATCATGCAACGAGCTTACTGTCACCAGGTGGGAGCTTCAGGAAGTTAGGTCACCATTGAAGGTCACTAGGTTAGGTTACTAAGTAATCACCAAGACTTATTCATAAGGTACCAAGTTAACACCAATTAAAGTTTTTCTTATGGCTCTCAACAAGTGAGTCTCACCAAGTCAATATCAACAAGTCACCATCAACAATCACTATCACAAAAACACTCACACATATACATCTCACCAAATCAGAACAAAATGATCACGTGTTTTTAGTCACCAGTGAGATCACCAAGTTTATACTTTTACAGGTATCTAGATAAAGTCACCAATAAAAAAAAAATAACACATTAACATCACCAAGTTAAGAAAAGTGGAGTATCACCAACCACTAACCAACGAGCAATCACGGTCACCATCCTAAAAACTCACCAGCACAGAGGAGAAATGTGGAGTTGATAAGTTATGTTACTAAGTTATACAGCGAATTTCTTATTGGTGTACCTTCTTCAGTGTAGTGTTTATAATGTCCTTAAACACAAGTATCATGGAGGTAGAATCTTGGAAGCAAACACCGTATCATTTTAACAGCTGTATTACTCGATAAAGTTTTAATTTTATCTTAACACACACACACTAAGTAGGTCTTATTAATGCTTCAAAACCATCATTATAAGAGTTGATTTATTTCTTTGATAATCACCAACAAAAAGTTTCAGCTGTGATTAATCTCTTAAATAAAACTCAGTGCTGCTTCACTTATGGTTCGAAACTTTTTTGTGTGTCTGTTCTGATTGACATATACGAAGTTATGTCTCTCTGTCTTTCTCTTTTTCTAAGTAACTACTAAGGCAGAGATAAATTCAGTTTCTAGACCCCGAACAAAGTTAAGGCAACGTTAAGTGTAGAGAGGATGATAACGACAAACTGATCACACTCTGTTTTTGGTTTTTCCTGAAGTCGATGAATCGTTCGTCACGTATCACTGTAAAACTAACACAATGACACTTCAATTCGGGGCTAAAATGATTCCACACAAACAGTTTAAACTCTGGCTAGATCAGCGTCGGCGGTGGAGCGAGTGTAACTGTGGGTGACGGTGGTGGAGGTAGGTGTGCGCACCGTATGAGCTAGGAGAGACTGGTGGCCTGGCTATATACACGCTGCCCCACCGCCGTTGCTAGGAGATGGCTGGACGTGAGCCTGCGCCCTGAGGTGGAATGAGGGGAGGGGCGGAGGGAAGGTCTAGTGGTGATGCATCCTCTTACCCTAGGGAGATGGTGGTGTGGGTGGCACTGTGTAGGTGGTGGTAGGGGTAGTTTAGTAGGTGGTGATCGTGGGTAGTTGCGGGGTGTAAAGAGGTTTATGGTGATAATAAGTGTAGATGGTGATTATAATTGTGACATAAAGGTGATAACTCTACCTGTTCAGTAGTATCACCTTAATGAGCCCGTCAACACCTGGATCTTACTAGTTGTAGGTTACTCCAAATTGAATGCGTCTCCGAGATTGAGAGAGTATACAAGACAAGTGTACGTGATGCTGATTGGGTCTCTCTCTCTCTCTCTCTCTCTCTCTCTCTCTCTCTCTCTCTCTGTTTCAATACGACGCCATTATAACCACCATCTTTTTAGTCATAGTTTAAGTTAGCCAATTAAGAACCTTGTCAGAGGACCAATTATAAGGGTGACCTGAAGCCATGAATCCTAAGGCCACTGTTATTGTTGTTGACTCTACACCCGGGAGAGATATGGTGATTGTTTGTAAACACTGAGACCGGAGGGGCTAGTTTGTGTACTGCAGGGCGGAGGGTATAAACCTAACCTGACCTGACCTGACCTGACCTAACCTAACCTGACCTGAACTAATCTAACCTTACCTGACCTAGCCTAACCTAACCTGACCTGACCTGACCTGACCTAACCTAATCAAACCTGACCTAACCTAACCTAACCTAAATTAACCTAATCTGACCTGACCTAACCTTACCTAATCTAACCTTGTATATTAATAAATCCTTCTACAAATACGTCATACTTACACTGTATTTCGGGAGTTGTTACACTGTAATTATTAGGTCTGTTAAGTCACCATTTAATTACACTACAACAGATGATGATATCTAGAGTTTAGTAATAATCCATTATATTAATCGCCAGCAGGTCCTCTGTGTGTGTGTGTGTGTGTGTGTGTGTGTGTGTGTGTGTGTGCGCGTGTGTGTGCGTTTTGTCCAACAT